ATGGGAGACCCAGAAGAAGCTCCTGGCTCCTGGCTTAAGTCTGGCTCAGCTCTGCCTGTTGTGGCCACACGAGGCTGGCGACTGGATCTTCGTCGTGGGCAGCAGCATGCCAGCCCACAGCCATAGTGGACACGTGGCCAATGTTAAGAGAATGAAATCCACCTCTGGGCTGCACACTGGCTGCCTGCAGCCGGTCAGGACAGCCTGGGCTCTCACGAGAGAGCGCCAGTCAGCAGATCACGCCCCTAACTGATAACCATTGACAACAGGGTGACTGTGCCTGGCTCTGTCTCCACGGCCAGGGGAGCTGAAGGAATCGGAGGAACCCCGCCGGGTGCTCAGTGTGGTGGTTTGGGGGCTGCGTTTGCTGATGTCTGGACAGCAGCCCACATCTCTTGAAAGAATACGCTGTGGCCACCAGGGGGCGCTGCCTGCCAGCTTTTTGGATGAGAGGCGGGAGCAGGGCTCCGGACCAAATGCGGGGCTTAGAGATAAGAGGGCATGGGAGGCAGAGTGGGAGACAGAGGGAGATTTCTCCAGCTGCTGATTGATTCCCCAAATGCCCGCGGCAGCCGGGCCACAGCCAGGAGCCAGGGACTCCTTCTGGGTCTCCCACGTTAGTGCAGGGGCCCAAGCACTTGGGCCATCTGCCACTGCCTCCCGGGGTATGCATTAACAGAAGGCTGAAATCAGAAGTGGCACTGTGGGGCCAGCGCTGTGGGCTAGTGAGTTAAGCTGCCGTCTACAGTGCTGGCATACCATATGAGCACTGGTTCAAGTCCCAGCTGCTCCATTTCCGATCCAGCACCCTGCTGATGGCCTGGGAAAGCGGCAGAAGATGGCCTAAGTACTTGGGCCCCTGTATCCACATGGGAGCCCCAGAAAAACTCGGGGATCTTGGCTTCGGCAGCCTAGCCCGACCATTGCTGCTATTTGGGGAGTGAACCAGCGGAGGGAAGACCTCTCTCTGAATCTCTCCCTCTCTCTGTAACTCTGACTTTCAAATAAGTAAGTAAATCTTTAGGGAAAAAAAAAAAAAAAGCGGTATCAGAACTCAAACCAGGCCCCCAGATATGGCATGGAGGCCTCCCTAGCAGTGACCTGACCTGCCCAGCCACAACCCCCACCCCCTCACCCCTTCTTCAAGTGAGGCGCCCATTTGTAATCTGCTGGTTTCTTTGCAGCACTGTCCCCATAAACCTTCCGTCAAGCGTCAGTGACGTCGCCGTCCTTACACCCAAGGCTGCACCAGCAACTCGATGTTGGTTCCGGCTTTTGTTCTGGCAGAATTCAGAATGCTCTGATGAGGATCTTTCCCAATTAGGCCCCGCCCAGTCGCCTTACAACAAAGTAGTTGATGCAAAATTTAAAAAAAAAAAAAAAGTCCTGAAATGCACGCATAGCTTTTCACGCGTGTTTTCCGTGCACCTTTCGGGGGCTCCCTGCCTGCGTCACGACGGCCGAGCAGCACAGGGCCGCGGCCTGGAGCAGCTCTGACAAACCACAGCGCCCCCCACCCCCCACGGTGTGGGTGCGGTTTGTGCGTCCCACGGAGGGTCAGGAAATCTGAAGCTTAGTCCCCTACGGCACTTACAGGCGGGGCCTTGGCCAGCACTGGGGTTGGATGCTGGTGGGTATGCGAGAAGGGGAGAGAGAAGAGGACGTGGCACGCGCCTCACCAGGCCACGCTCCGCGCAGCCTCGCGACTCAGCCTGGCTCCTCCACGGCCCTGAGCGTGGTGTTGAGTGCTTGGACGAAGACGACAGCGGTTCTGAGTCTGACCTCGCTGTGACCCAGTGTTCCGCCTTCTCCCCCGCCAAGTGCCGCTCCCTCGCGTGTCAAGGACACAAGGCAGAGCTCCGGCCTGAGCTGCCCGGCGTGCAGCCATTGCGGGGGGCTGAGACCATGGCCTGCCTTGCTCCTCCCTCCTCCCCCTCGGGCAGGGGAGTCCCACAGCCGCCGTGAGAACCCTGCCCCGCGGGGCGTCCACCTGCGCGGTGCTGCCTGCGGACTGCAGCCCAGGAGTGAAGTCGTTCTCCCCCAGAGCTCAGTGAGGGCCCGAGCGCGTTCCCCGTTCCCCGGGCACCCCACCCAGCTTCACACGCATGAGCAGTCACACACACGAGCAGTCACACGCACGAGCAGTCACACGCGAGCAGTCACACACGCGAGCAGTCACACACGCGAGCAGTCACACACGCGAGCAGTCACGCACGCGAGCAGTCACACACACGAGCAGTCACACACGAGCAGTCACACATGAGCAGTCACACACGAACAGTCACACACGTGAGCAGTCACACACGCGAGCAGTCACGCACGCGAGCAGTCACACACACGAGCAGTCACACACGCGAGCAGTCACACACACGAGCAGTCACACATGAGCAGTCACACGCACGAGCAGTCACACACACAAGCAGTCACACACGAGCAGTCACACGCACGAGCAGTCACACACACGAGCAGTCACACACACGAGCAGTCACACACGAGCAGTCACACACATGAGCAGTCACACACGAGCAGTCACACACACGAGCAGTCACACACACGAGCAGTCACACGCGAGCAGTCACACACACGAGCAGTCACACACATGTGCAGTCACACATGAGCAGTCACACGTATGAGCAGTCACACACGAGCAGTCACACACATGTGCAGTCACACACGAGCAGTCACACGCATGAGCAGTCACACGCACGAGCAGTCACACACAAGCAGTCACACACGAGCAGGAACAGGCTGCCGTGGTAGAGTTGGAGGGCTGCTCTCCTGCTGAAGTTTGGTTTGGCTTTGTGTGTGTGTACTGTGTGGATATGTGTGTAGGCATGTGTACTGTGTGTGGCTGTGTGTACTGTGTATGTGTGTGTACTTATGTGTACTGTGTGTGTGGATGTGTGTGTACATATGTGTACTGTGTGTGTTTGTGTGTACATACGTGTACTGTGTGTGTTCTGTGTGTGGACGTGTGTGTATACGTGTGTGTGGATGTGAGTAGATGTGTGTATGTATACTGTGTGTGCATGTGTATTGTGTATGTTTGTGTCTCTATACTGTGCATTTGTGTATGTGTGAGGGTGTGTGAATGTGTTGCATATATGTATATGTGGATGTGTGTGATTGCAAGTGTGTGTACATGTGTGGAAGGTGTGTGTGTGTGTGTACATCTGGGGGTATACGTGCATGTATGTGTGTGCATGTATGTGCCTATATGTGAGTACATATGGGGTATATGTGTATGTGTGTACATATGGGGATGTGTGTATGTGCATACATGTGTGTATATGTATGTGTGTACATATGGGGGTATATGTGCATGCATGTGTGTATGTATGTGTGTACACATGGGGTATATGTGCATGCATGTGTATGTGTGTACATATGGGGGTATATGTGCATGTATGTGTATGCGTTTATGTGCATATGTGTGTACATATGTGGTATGTGTGTATGTGTGTACATATGGGATGTATGTGTGTGCATGTATGTGTATGCGTGTACATGTATGTGTGCACATATGGGGCATGTGTGCATGTATGTGTATGTGTGTACATGTGGGGTATATGTGCGTGTATGTATGTGCATATATGTGTGCACATATGGGGTATATGTGTATGTGTGTATGTATGGGGATATGTGTGTGCATGTATGTGTGCATGTATATGTATGTGTGTACATATGGGGTATATGTGCATGCATGTATGTGTGTGTATGTATGTGTGTACATACAGGGTACATGTGCATGCATGTATATGTGTGTATGTGGGTGTGTGCAAGTATGCGTATGTGGGTGTGTGCATGTATGTGTATGTATATGTATGTGTGTACATATGGGGTATATGTGCATGCATGTATATGTGTGTATGTATATGTGTACATACGGGGTACATGTGCATGCATGTATATGTGTGTATGTGGGTGTGTGCATGTATGCGTATGTGGGTGTGTGCATGTATGTGTATGTATGTATATGTATGTGTGTACATATGGGGTATGTGTGTATGCATGTGGGGGGGTGTGTGCATGTATGTGTGTGTGGGTGGGTGTGTGCGCATAGGTGTGTGTGCTTTCACATGCACCTTGTTCTTGTTTGGGGTTTTGGTCCTGGGACGTGGCTGTTGGTTCCCAGTTCTGCATGGAGATGCCCCATCTGCCCTCATCTCTGAATGGGCCTGGGGGATCTGAGATGCCCCACTTCGGGCTGTGGATGGGGTAAAGCAATCAATTCCGGAGGCTGGGATATGGGCAGGGGGATGGAGTTGCAGAGACGAGGGGCGTGCACGTTCCAAAGGCCGCCTCATGCAGGCCCTGGTCTGGGGCCTGTGGGCTGTGTGGCCTCGGACACGCCGCGTGGCCTCTCTGGATCTCATCAGTAGCGTACGAGGGGCCCTTGGCAAACGTCACACAGGCGTCGCGGCAGGGACAGGTTTGTTACGGGGCAGAGCTGCCTGGGATGGGACCCTGCCTCGTTGGAACTTAGACGCGAGAAAGGAAGTTCTGGGGGGCCCGAGCTGTCGTGCTGACGGGTGGAAGGGCTGCCCCGGGACACTCGGGCGGGCCTGTGTGAGAGGTCCTGTGCCCAGTGCAAGTGG